TATATATATATATATATATATATATATATATATATATATATCATGTGTCACTCTAATGAAATAAATACGTAGTCAAAGATAAGCAATTTCACATATATTAAACAAAACAAATGGCATATGTTTTACTTGCAGCTTTATTTAGAAAATGAGCGCTTAATGGAAACAGTACCTTGCGCTCTGACTTCAAATTTGAGAACTGGTTCATCCGACTTGGCAGCATTTTTACGTCGGGTACATTCGCCTGAAGTAGCCAAGTGGTTTGTTCACTGGCAGAACTGTGACATCAATGCAGTAAAAGTGTTGAGAAAGTATTATCAACGACCATACTTCCTTTCAAGTACCGTCTCACCTGCCCATTTTAATTGGGTCCTCATGTCTTCGGATTACAATAGCCCGAGTTATAAAAAGGTCGAACTAGATTCAGGTCTCATAGCTCTAGCTCAGCTGCGAGGAGCTACACAGCTTCGTTTGACTCCTATAAATCCTTGTAATAGTTCTTGCCCCGAATTGATAGCAGACTTACACCAGGGTGAGATGCGTAAGTTGAACGATTGCACAGTTGGACTTTCGTTAGTAAAAAATCTAAAATCGATAAATGTAATAGAACAAATTTTAATAATCGATGATATTGATTTTAGTTGTTTTCACTAATTTAATGTGGACTTTGGAATACGCGCCGATGAGGGGACTGGACAACATTGCAATCTTAACTGAAACTGTCTGGGAAGAGGATACATAAACTATAAAACATCTTTCTCTTTATATTGCATTAGTCCATGATATTCTGGAAATATATGTCGCTTAATTAAATTATATATATATATATACACATATATATACTCATCCTGCTACAATGTCATAGTTCACATTGAATAAAGTATTCTTGCTCATCAAGCACGTGTGAACTTATTTTGTAGCTCGATTACTTTCTCTTGCAACTTGAAGAAAAGGATTTGACGAGGATACCAAAAAGTAACAACAAACAAGATTCGTTTTTTTATTAATTAATCATTTATAATAACATTGTTTTTTGTTGATTTTTTTTTTTTCCTTTTGTAGCAGTTTTCTCCGATATTTCAGTTGGGCTAACAAGGAGTAGATTGTTATGCACCGATTCATAGAAAAAACAAAGCGCAAGATTACTGAATGACAAACGTAGCTGGCGATTCGACATGCTTAATCGATGCGATAATTTGTTATATTAAAAGTTGTATGAGTGTATAATAATCGATTTTCTTCTTTTTGCGCTACATTCTGTTTATACAATCTTAGGGTATCGATGCAAGAGAAGGAATGACAATAATTGGCGCCTAGCTAATAACACCATCGAAATATGTTCGTCAGGTCTTCTACTCCACACGGCTGCAACTACATTTCTTTTGTTTTCCTTCCGAATCGACTCCTGCCTCCGACATCTTTTCTCTTTTTTTATTCGCTATATCATATACATGTTTTGATATACACACACGCACACGTATGCACATTCTTCCGTTTTTTTTCTTTTCTTTTAATTAATTATTATTGTTATTGTTATTATTATTCTATCTTTCCATAAAGTGTTTTCACATGGAACAAAGTTCTACGATTCGAAAGGGAGCTGTTCAATCTCGCTTTAATCGAAGATTAATACTCGTTATACTAACAGCGCTGCCGGAATATCGTGTATCGTTTAACTAACCGTTATACTAAATCGAAATATACGTAACGCAAGTCTATACCTTTTTTTTAAGATGTGGAAAACACTTTTCTGAAAGAGAGGCTCTCAGTATGAGATCTAACACTGATTACTTGATTTACTTATTTTGTTTTTCAATTCGAATTCGAAAAGGATCTTCCGTCAGACGATCTCTTCAGCGAGAAAAGGATCGACGATCGATTTTTATTTAGTACATACACATATACGCATCATCCTCGGCACGGTTTATACTTGCAATTCATATTGTATTAGCTGTGTGTCGCGGTATCAAAAGATTGTTTTTATACGAATCCATTCAACGACTAAATTTATAACAATGACAATGTACAAGTGAGATACTACACAGAAATGAGCGTAGACAACGAACGAAACGACTTCGAAGTACCTAAGAGAATCCAAATTTTCTTATTTATTATTCTCTCGCATTTCTCATCGTATTTTATCCTTGGTTTCATTTCTTATTTTTATCTCTTTTTTTTTTCGTTTTTTCTTAATTTTATTGGTTATGTTTTTTTGGTTTAAACGCTTTAAACAAGAAGTATCGGCTACAAGTGTTTATTCGTTAGTTTTTAATCATGTTCGACCGTTGCATTGCGTCAGCTTATTGTTCCTGTTGTTAAAAATTATTATCTCGTACGATTTGGTCTGATCACAAAGGGAGAAGAAACAGAACTTATTGTTAGTTCTCGTGAAATGGGTTAGTTCTCCCCTCGTGTTACATTTTCTTTTTTTTTTTTGCCTCCTTATTTATTAATGCCACTTTTCTTTCTTCCTTACTTTTGGTTTATGATGTCTAACACTTAACGATAATGAAACGACTATCTCCCGTAACTCCCTGTTTCGATATTTCCTCTTTCGTGTAGCTACGTTTCGCGGTGATTCTGGATCTCTCCTTGCACTCTGTTCTCGTTTGAATCGCGTTAAACTCGTTTCGCTACGTGACTTATCGCTATGAAACTCAATAATGAAAGACAAGGAAAGAAAATGAAACTGTCAAAGAGATGAAAGATGAACATTACAAATTTGCTAAGTAATATGTAGTTAACACATTCACTACCATTTAAACGAAGTTCTTTTTGCATTTTCTTTTATTTACGGGCCACTAATTGTTTGCCTGTTTCCTTAGAAAAAAAAATCTCTCGTTTCT